GTGACCTTGTTATGGATAAAGTTGGAAACTTAATCCATCGAAACATCATATTGATTCATATCCAAATCCTAGGGTTAGATAATATAATTGATAGCTTGATACATAAGAAAGTATTAGATATCCATATTATGCTAGATTAATTGTCATGATTAGTGATAAGAAGTCGCTACATCAATTCCTTCATAATTTGAATATTTAGTTGATTATTTAGTTAACTAATTGCATGATCATTGTGTTAGTAGCTTTATGATTATTTGTATTAGTTAATCAAACCAAGATAACTGGTCGTTATAATACTCAGTAATGAAGTTGTTCAATCCATGGGACTCTAATAAATCATCCATAGGAAAATAGGGGGATTCGGAATCTAAGTGGAAGCACTTTAAAATCATTGTTTTCACTCACATTCTTTGCTTTTGTTTGCGTTTATTTAGTAGTTAATCTCGTTTAATCTAATTTAAACACCCCTTCCCCTTTACTTGTCTATTTTTAGTTTAATTAATTGATTTATCGTCTAAATTAAATCATACTCGTTCCCCAATAGTGCGACACCCTTACTTATAAAAACTATACTATAGTCGATCAAATTCACTTCATGTAATGTGTATTAGTTTAGCTGTGATAAATCAGAATTTTGCATATTTAAAACTAGTGCATTTTCAGACCTTGGAAGATGCATAAAGAGTTAAAGAATGATGTAAAGGCCAAAGAAGAAGAACTTGAAAAAAAACACTTTCAGTATTCAAACATGAAGGTATGTAGTTTACAAAAAGAAGACGGAATAAAAAAAATATATAAAATAGACAAACTAGAAATCAAGAAAAACGAACAATTGATAAGTAGGTCTTAAAAATGTATTGTTTGGAAAGAGGGTGGGTGATGTTGAAGTAAAGAAGATGAATGAGAAACAAGAATGATCACTATTTATGGCACAATGAATGGGAAACAAGAATGGGTCAAAATGTGTATTTTATGCTCTATCATCCACAATATTTATGTGAGGTGGTTATCACAAAAGTTTTTTTCGGTTTAATGAATAACCCAAATTTTAAGTTTAGCAAATGCAAAAAAAAAATAACACATCATATTTTCAAAAATCACTTGAAATTTTGTATAAAAAAATGTCGAAAGAGACAACGATCTACCTCAATTAATGAGTTATTTAGTCTTAACTATGTTTTTGAGATTTTCATAGCTAAATATATGAGGAAACCTAGATTTTCATAGGAGATTGATTCCTTATGAAAATCTAGGGTTTGTCAGACCATGGCCTGTGAAAACCTAGGTTTTCTTAGGCAATGAACTACAAAATTTTATGTTTTCCCATGCCATGACTTGCAAAAATCTTAGGTTTTCTCATATTATAACATGCAAAAATCATATTATTCTAAGAAAACGTTCATCATATGCGTACCTTTTTTACAGGAAAGGTACGCACTCGATGCACAGTGGACGATTATGTCATCTGCTTTTCTCATCTCATGGGGGACATGGATTTGACCAATTGTGTTTCT